TTAACTGTTTCTTTTGTATTCTGTCTTATGCTATTGCTCTGACCGACTGTGAAGCACTTTGGTCAACTTTGTTGTATTATTATGTGCTATGGAAATACATTTTGATTTGATTTGATTTGATTTGAATAATAGTGGCATCATTAGGACAGATGTCATTAGATGTGAAGGTTAAGTACCACATGACTGTAAACGCATACAAAACAGCAGAGTGTATCTAACAGCGATGGCAGGTTGAAGGCAGGATTGGACACCACTGGTGTGTCTGCTATGTGCTCAGCAGACACTGGGTTTGCGGTGAAACCCAGTGTCTGCTGAGCATACACAGTTATTTTCATTACAAACGTGTTCTCTGTTGTCGTAAACAACACACCTAGAAGAAGAACGACTATTAGTGGCTCTAGCTGAATTTCCCATTAATTGAATTTCCCAATGAATGAGGTGAATTTCCCATTGATTTTCTTCACTGAAACATAAAAACATTTATAAATCTATGAATTTTAAGTCTTAAACCAAAACAACAACAAAAAACAACTGCAAGGTGACTTATGACTTAAAAAAGACATATTTATGTTTAACAGTAAAGGAACGACACATCCCATAACTCATTACAAATCCCAGCGTCCACAACAAACAACTTCCAACCTTCTCAAATGTAATCCTTGCCATTACTGCAATGTTAATATGGTTAATATTAATGTTGTATAATAAAAATTATATATATATATATATATATATATATAGTAAAAGGCAGAATAAAGTCAGAATAAATTAAATAATCTTTATAGTAAGTTAAAACACACAGATTTCTTTCGGCAAGTTTCACTTTGCTGGTGCATAATTGTGTATTTAAATCTCAGAAATTGTCATATCATGAAAAATCTGGTACCTATTCAGGAAACCTCTGTTTTCATCACAGGAGAGAGAAAGATCTTAATCCTCCTGCAAAAAGAGGAAAAACCACGAAAGCCACTCGTTCCTCACACTTGGAAAGCGTACCTAAATGAAATTGCAACTTTAGTGCATACTTCATTTTTTCTTGTGCTTTAGCAGAAAACCAGAGAAGGCCAATTAAAGCACATGGTGTAAACACATCAGACATCCTGCTGTTTTATTTTTCTGTGAGGAGTACAAGAAAGTTAGCCACACACTAAAATACAAGAAGTTCAAGTTCTCCCGTCAAAGAAAAACCAAAGTGTTTTTGATTGCACCTTTCACTCACCCCTTTAAAACCAGATGAATCCATCTTCTCATAAACTGTTTATGAGACCGACAGCTCCATTGCTCTTGGCGGTGGTGTTTATGTCACTGGTAACACGCAGAAAACATTTAGGCCGAAGCCACGGCCTCGTTGATGAAGAAACTCACTGATTAGCTCCATTATGAGTCATGATTGAAGAACCCAAACTGAGAGAGGTCACACAGGTTATGAAAAAAGCAAGCGCTCCTTTACACAGGTCAAACATTTGTGGTGTTTCTGAGAGTCCATGCGTGCTATGTGACGTGCATTCACAGCGGGCGATCTGGTCTTCATTATCCTGCCTGTGTCCACGCTCATGATAGAAAGCCTGTCTCTACTAAAACGTAACAGATTAATTTTGATTCTAACAGCGTGTGTAACATGCAGAAACACATGTTTGCTTTCCTTTCATTTGTTTCTTCCACACAGGCTTGCTGAATGCCTACTCCTGGAGTCTGTCTTCAATCTGCCACAGAGAGATGAAAATATTATCTCAGAAGTTGTTATTATTTTAAATATCCAAGGGAGGAAGTGCAGAGTGTGTAGTGCGTACTCTGGCTGTTCTGGTTACGATGGATTTATTGTTACTGTGAAGCTGCCAGCTCATGTGATCAAGGAAATGTTCTGTCCTCGAAATTTTCACTCTTGGCTGAAAAATAATCAGAATTATTTGATGAAAAAATATCTGAAGTGAAGGCCAGTTTACTACTTGTATAGTAATATTTGATTGATTCATGTACATGTTTAGTAATATTGTTTTAGAGGTCACACTTTGATCATAAAGGGCAAAAGTTATACTAAAGCGTTGACATTAAGTCACTATAGAGTTTTGCTTTGATGTAAGGTAACTGCATGTGATAGAAAAACTCTGATTTTCCTCTTTTAAGTGTTTCTGTCTGTTCCTCTCTCTGTTCTGTAGAACTGTATAGTCACACAGTATTTGGTCAGACTGATTTGTGGCACCATCAGCTCATTGCACACTGCCTTGTGTGAATATTTTGGTTCCCTTGAGTGTGTCTAATGACTATAAGAACATTCCAACTCTAATCAGCGCTTCATAAATATGTGTACATGTGAATTTACTTATTCACGACATTTACCTTAAATATTTGGATTTAATTGTGCCTTACTTATGCGTTTGGAAGCAAATGTGATCCTTGTCTTATTGAGGATTTTCCTGTCTAGATATTTTAATTTTTCTGTGTATTTTTGCATGAATATGTTGATAGATATGTATCAGTGTGCTCCCAGTATGCTTTCTCGTAAAAGGCTTTTTGTTTTTTCTCTAGTCTCCCTTCAAAAACTATTAAAAATTGTTAGAAGCATCTGTGATAGTTTTTACAGCGAGCTTTATGGCAGTCAGGTATATACGTATGCAGAAATGTTCCATACATATGCATGCTAACTGTGAAATTACATTCCAGAGCTCAAGATAACACTGCTTTTATAGCATGAAATTATTTCATGTTCTTTTGAAGATAGTTTGGGACTGACTTCATTGTTTACAGAGCTTTTCTTGTTCTCTTTTTTCTCTTATACATTCTGTCCTTGTGAACTATTGAGCACAAATACGTTAACCTAAATGCTTTGTCTTTTGTCCAAACAGGCAGCGGGAGCTATCCGACCTCTTGTTTCCACAGTAATCGCCACCACATCCGAGGGCTACCTAGACCACTCTTTGGAGAGAGCCAAGTACAGAGCCAGCGAGATGCCTCAAGGATTTACATATGATGTCATCTCTCAGGCCTATCAGAGGGTAGGACCTATACTCTGATGTATCTTTAACAAACAAATGGGCTGTTTGAGGCATCTTGTTTTGGGTCTTTCTGGTTTGATGCAGTTATATGCACGATAAAAAGAAACCTGACATTCTGTATTTAGCTAAGATTTCAGTTTACAAAAAGAAAAAAACGAAATACTTGGCTGTCAAGTCTTGCTGTAAACACAGGTCTGTGTGCGACCATTTCTGTAACACCCACTTCACACATTGATTGGTCAAGTGTGGGAGGTGGAAAAACAAGCTGGATTTGAGCTTTTCTTTTTCTTGTAGTTTGTTTTGTAATTCCTTTCAGGACAGAGCGTCTGTAACTGTGTGCCTTTTTCACCATATTTGGCTCTTTTCTGTGAAGGCTGGCTCCTCACCCCACTTTCAAAGGTGACTGAGGGTACACATCAGTTTAAATATTGATGTTTAACCACAGTTTATCTCTTTCAGTTTTGGTCTTTGTTTTTCCACCTTGTACTTCATACACAACGTTCACATTTTGGACAGAGAAGAAATATGGTTTGAAAGACGAGTGAAAGAAGCCATCTATGTCCACTGTGAACGGCCATCTTTGAACAGAGGCGATGGTTTATGGCACCAACTGTCTGCCATCTATAATCCAGTTTTGAGATCCCTGCTCAGACCCCTTAATGTCCACTCACATCCTGGGCCTGTTGACCTCAGGAAATCACATGATAGGGTGGGGCTAGACTTCACAATGGGTTCACTTGAAACCCTGGTTGATTGTGATCTTCAGACCTTGGCTTGTGTGTGGTAGAGGATCAATAGGGGGTCCATGACCCTCTCGGGGGACACTCCCATAGGGCTTAAAATCTGGGACTCTTTACCAATTGCTCTGAAGCTGAAGAAGCTTCTTCGATGAGAGATGAAACGTCTTCAAGAAATCTGAAGAAGTCCAGACACTTTTCTTTCCAAGGTCCTTAGACTGTTTTGCTAAAGATTAATTTTAGCTGTTAGTACAATGGTATTTTCAACCAGAGAAAATATTACTTGATGCCACAGAATTGTCGCAACTTTATAAATAACAATAGAAATTTCCTTAGCCCAACCTCATCGATTTTCCAGTGGGTTCCCCTACCTTTTAAGAAACTTCCTTTTGATTTGCTGCTGCATGTAAATAGAAAGTAGTGGTCCTTCTATGCTCGCAGTCGGAGCTTGTTGCCTGAGATGAAAAAAGTAAAAGTAAATTTTTGTATAAATTTTGTATAAACATATCACAGGATAGATGGTAAAGTCCTGCAGGCATGTGTGACTTATTTGTGGTGTCAAATAATTACTAAAAACCATCTGGGAAATCTTCTAAAATGACAGATTGAGATTTATGCACTAAAACTTACATGAGTTGGATGACAAAGGGCTTTATGATTCCCATACATCATAACAGACCCTTATAGTCCTTCATGGTTCAGCTGATATGCCAGAACCTGCAGGGTTTCACTCTGAAGAGCTTGTGGCATGGGTGCTATCACTTTCTCTTGGCCTCATCTGCACCTAGGAAAGAAATCACACACGATTATATTCTGCCACAGTGCAGAAGATTAGTTTGTGGAACAAAAGTGAACAAAGGCTAAGTTGGAAAAATGGTAACATAGGACTGAAATTACACGGAACGTCTAGGTGGATTCAGATTAATGTTCTCGCATGTATAGGGTGTTTTACTATGTGTACCTGAAAAATGGAAAGAATTATACGCTGACGTAAACTGTAAATGCGTTAATTGTTCTCTGAAAGCAGAAGTTTATTGCTAAAACGTAGTGGGCCAACGAAATGTGAAACTTAAATCGATGAAGTTGACCTTATTTATTTTTCAGACGCTTCCAGTTTGCTATTTCAACCTTTACTTCATTAGATGGTTCTTCCGATAGCCACTTTTTTCAAGGGCACGGCAAACTTTGAGCTAAGACGTTAAGTATGCCTTAAATTGGAGCGCCGTGTGTCTGCAGTTATTTTTACTCCTGGCACACATGGATCTTCAGATTGCTCTGAGAGGCCTGTTGGCTTTGGCCTTCTCAGAAAATGAGCTCACTTTTCTGCAGTATTTTCAAGGCACACTGGAGAAGGAGGTCGAGTAAGATTGCGTCCCCCTCGCCTCCTTTTCAAACTTTTCAAAAGAAGGGAAAGTGTAAGGTATCTGTCAGGTTAAGACTCTAGGACATGCACATGAAAAATCTCTAGAGCTGCTCATTTGTAGCGTGACATCTATTGAAAGCAGAAGAACTCAGGGCTGAAAAGACAAAAGGGAGGACACTTTATCCAGTCCCCAGCAAGAGCCTTTGTACCAGGAGAAAATGCTAAAGGTTAAATTACCACAAAACCAAGAGCATATTTCTGCTGTAATTTCTCTCTGCAGTTCCATGGTCCCAGATATAAAAGACTCCCCTCTCTTTTATAGCTTGATAAAATATTACCCTGCTATAATCTCAGGTAGCCTGAATTTGTCTTTGTAGTAGAGAAAACCTCATCGCCTCAATCCAAACTTGTATGTGATCTTCAGAAACGGAGCCAGCAAAGCACAAATAAACTATTCATTGGTAAAATTAACTCTAATGAGTTTAGGGAGGGAAATGACACAGAGTAACAAGGACATAAAAACACTAGAACATTAGTCTAATTGCTCTAATCAGCATAGTTTCCAGCAACAGACAGCAAAAAAAGCTCATATAAACCCATTGCACTCTACCTGCTTTGACCCAAACAGCAAACAGACACAGTTAGTGAAGAATTTAGCAGCTAAATATGGAAGTATTTTCCTTGGAGTTGATATTGTTATTCAGTGCTGTTTAATGTTGGTTCGTATCTGCTGGATGTGTTCTTAAGCAACTCTTTGCTATAACCCAAGGTCTTTTTTGCCTAATTAAAGCTAAACTTTTTATTTTTTAAACTGAAATAATAAAAACTAAGTAAAACAGTACTGTGTTCTTAAGATAGCTAATTAAAATTAAATGTATGTATAGACAATGACTTGAGTTTTAGTCTCGGTCAATTTAGTCAAAACAAGAAAACCATCCTGAGGAGGCTTTAGTGATTATCTTTATTGCAACTGTGACCTTTACATTACTGTGAGTCGGTCATTTTTAATGTAATCCATGTTTTCAGACACTTAAATTGTGCCGCTGAAAACTACACTACATGGACAAAATTACAGGGGCACACCTATTAATCTCTGAATTCAGGTCTTTTCAGTCCCATTGCTGCAGGTGTATACATTCAGTGACCTAGCCATGCAGTCTGGAGGAACAGTAACTGCATGTGTATATAAAACCTGAAGATAGTCAGATTAAGAGTATTTTGTCTCTATCTGCCATTCTGCAATTCATCTCATGTAAACAATAACGTGGCGCACAGCGTGACGTGAAAAAAGGCACATACCTTTGACGTTGCGTGACGAACTCTGTATTCCTCGTCCACACGTAAACGCAAAAAATGAGTTTTAAAAAATCTCAGTTTTCAGTGATTCGAAACGCCGTTTACGTGTGGACGAAAGACCCAAACAGCTGCGTTTTTAAAAATACCCATGTAGGTGTGGACGTATTGTAAAAGAGTTAGTAATGTATTTTATTACTACCTGTAATTTATTGCAGTTTACTTGTATCTGCTTAATTGTTTACTAAATGGTTGAGGTGTGAAATAAACCGCAATGGAGTTTGAAAACAAAATATGGGTGTGTGTGGTTGGAGGATGTGTTTGTGCGGGTGGTGAGTGTTTAGGTGGTGAGGGGGCGCGAACATTTTTATTGTAAAACCAAGGGGGGCCTAGCAAAAAAAGTTTGGGAACCACTGGTCTACAGAGTTCATGAAATCTGAGTGTGGTACTGTAATATATTGTGTAAGTGAAGTGACAGACCACATAGAGTTACAGAGTGACTGAGTGCTGAAGCATACAGGGAATAAAAGACTCTGGTGACACTGTAATTGCAGAGATCCTATCCTACACTGGTATTAACATCAGCATAAAACTGTGTGCAGGGACCTTCAAGGCATGGGTTTCCATTGTCAAGCAGCTTCTGTAGGCGTAATGTGTAGATGGCCAATGCTTTTTTCCATGTAGCGTATACTCCAACCTAAACTAAAACTCACGCTGTAACATATAAGAGTAAAACTAAAGCTAAAGTCTTTCAAAACAATGAAAACTAAACTGAAAGAGGGATAATCTCTCTGGAAGCTAAGTTGAATTGCAAACAAAAAATCCCTAAACTATAAAACTCAAACCAAAAAACCCGATTCACTAGGTTACTTTTAAGATCCACCAGTCTTTGAAGTCCTTACACTGCAGTGTAAAAAAGATACAGTTGTGAGACGTACAATTTTGGTCATTCCTTTAACAATTTATTTATTGTTATAGGAATTTCTTTCAGACGAAAACCTCAGAGCCTGCTAACCTTTTAACCTCGACAAAATAACCAAAAAAAGCTCCTCTAAAACCTCTGTACACCACATCTTCAGCAGCAAATAAAACATTTCACATCTCCCACAACAATGTGGGAAAATGTCTTATGAACCTGATGAAACCAGTGTTGCACATTTTAAATCTTATTTCAGAAAGATAAGAGGGTTACAATTCCAAGAGCGCATTAGCCAAAGAAAACAACGTCCTGTGAAGCATCCGTTGAAAAATGTGGTGACGGCAGCTTTGTTTTATGAAACCTTTACTGTGTAAACATTGTCACAGTATGGAGAGTGAAATAAAAGGCTCCAGATATGGAAATCTTTTCAGCTGAAAGTCTAACCTGTGTTGCACAAAGCCAACTTATCTGAGGAGCACCCAGAGGAAAGAAGTACCTTATTTAGCAATTTGCACATCATACCAGCAGTACATAATAAATTAGATTGTACCTGAAGTCTTTTAGTAATAAAATGTAAGATAATTCTTAAACACAGGTGCACTAAGTTACTAAAATCTTTCAAACCAATAAAAAGAGTCAACGCAAGAAGTATCTATAAGAACTGTTTCACATTTGGTGCTTCTGCTTAGCGTAGAAATCGTAGAAGTCATCATTTAGTTTGCTAGTTTAAGAATTTGGTGCACAATGAACTTTCTCAACAACTACATGTTAAATCTCTAGGAAATTTGGGTTGGAAATGAAATGTCTCCAGGGGGTTGTTTATTATGATTTTGGTAATTGGTATAATCAAGTTTAGGTTCCCCATAGGCCATGGACAAGCATCTCAAGGTATAATGACCACATGTCCACAAATACTGGGAACAATAGTAGAAGCCAAAAATCTAATTTTCTGGCTGATGTGAAATTTACTGAGTTAATTAATTCTTCACGTTCCTCAGAGGATAAACAGTTTGGATGTGTTTTTGATGTCCCAAGACAAGATATTTCTCTCTGGCAGCACATATGATTTAAAACTCCAAACAATACAACAAGTGATTGATTAAGCCACTCAGTGGCTCTTCAACTCTTCAAGCTTTTTGTTTTGATTTAGGCAACATTTGTTTTACTGTAGGTGTTGAAGATTGGATCAATGAAGAAAAGTAATGCTGTTTGCTTTCTGCATGGGCTGCTTTTCACAAAGACTGCTTGAAAATGGCTCTTGTCTTGTATAATTCTGATATTAGCTGGCATGGTGAAAACGGTTTTGGCAGTCACTGTCTGAGATTTCACAACAAAGGAATGAATCTAATATTTTTAGCCCCTCTACTATAGATTATGTCTAAAAGATGGATGTAGCCATGATGACTTCATCAAAGGATTGGATAAGTGTGTGCTTTAACAATGCCGTGGGTTTTTTTTTTAAGGTAGAGATAACCATATTTTGCTGCTGGCAGTACCTGCTAATTGGTGCAAGATTCGAGCACATACTATTTGGATGCTCTCTACTTCAAAGCGCACTATATTAATTCAATTAAGAAAGCTTCCAAAGGCCCCAGCACCACAAACACAGGCTGAGAGTTGTGGGTACGACTGTTAATCAAAGTGGTCCACACCCTTATCTAACAAAAATAGAGACCTTAACAACATTCAGACTGGTGAGTTATAATTTACTCACTGAAATATTCTTAATGAAATGTTATGAAGTAGGAAACTACCCATACCTACCTGTAAACCTGCTTATTTCTGCTCTAACGTTGGGCATTTTAACCTGGTAGTTTATGGGAACTAAGTCAGGCAGCCTCAAGTGTCCAGCTGGAGGAATTGCAGTTTTTGACATTTATGTGTTGGATTCATTTTTCAACCCTGAGGTTTCTGCTTGTCCTTTACTGGCTCTTTAAATATGAGTAATCGTCCTGTTACTCAACTCAGATTGTGGTAAAAGGAGGATTACAAAACAGAACATTTTCAAACGTTTGTAAAAATCTGTTAGTAAGAACATATTTTATGTGAAGCAGAGCATACACTGTGGTGGTACCTTCATTCCGCTGAGTTTGATGGAAATACACTGGTGTCAGCGACCGTCCACAGCATCTGCTCTCTCTTGTGTCCCCTCTGCAGTGCAGTGAGTCAGACTTCGAGTTTGGCACAGAGTGTCTCCATCTGGCTCTGCAGTACTGTGGCACCAATGCCAAGCTCATTGAGGGTCCGCCAACACTGTGGAAGGTGAGCTCGCCAGGGGCCTGCTTTGGGTTTGGGATCGAGGATTTTGTGACATTTTGGCTAGCACAACTGCACGCCACTGATTTATCAAATGAGTAAAGATAAATCATGAATTGAAAGTTTGTGGGTGCTGGCAAAAAAGGAAACACACATAAATTGACTGTGACATCCAGGATAAGCATATAGAAATTAGGCTAACTACTGTATTAACGTTTTCTTCTCAGTTTTCTGTGTGATCCATTCTTAATGACGTGTGTTTTTTTAGTTAGACGTAATGTTAACTTGATATGAAGGCAATTTGGTTTTACATGCTGAAGGCTCTGCTCCATTATAACAGGTTGAATTTACTTTGCGGTGCTCAAAGCAGCACAACAGTGACCCACTGAGTCAGAGTTACGATGGATCGCTAACCCTTTTTTTAGCAGGTAGTTTGAATATTTATGGAGTCAATACCTAAATCAAGAATCGTACATGTGTTATGAAACTGTGAGATAATGCATTACAAAACAGAGTGTAGTCTCAGATGATATTGTTTTTGCACAAGGGATACATTTGTGGTGTTGTTTGAGCACCTCAGTTTTACTTTCAAAGTAGGAACATATTCTATGGCAAACTAACAGAAGTGCTATCTTATTCAGTCAAATAAATTTTCTAAATACTTAAAATGCTGCTTATTCCACTGGAAGTTACAGAGTTACTATCATATTGTCTCATTTGAATAATCTTTAGAGATGTGAAAGTGCATCATGACATAAAAACAATGAGCAGAAACTGGAGGAAAGTCCAAATCTGAGGTCCAAATCATTGATTGAAGCTAAACGGGTTGTTGTTGTTTTTGGAAAAACACATGTATGGCTTGTTTTGTATTTGATGAACACATTAATTTTACTCAGAGAATATTTCTAATAATCTGAGAAAACCTTTAAAAAGCAACATAATCAGCTCAATTGTCAGTGTAGCTCACTGATAAGATTCCAGCGAGTTTCTGGGAGCAGATATCTGAAAATCTCTGCACATAAAACTGAAACAATGTGCACAGATCTCCATAAATAAAATGTTCCTTTCTCTCATTTGGGTAAACTGACTGGATAAACCCAAGTTATTTTGTCCTCCAGGTGACCTACAAACGGGATTTGGCTGCCGCAGAGTCCATTATCAAAGGTGAGTTTCTTTTGTGGATATGCTTTCATAGAACTTCCTGTATGTACAGTACAAAGTACAATAGTTTTTCATCCTCTTACTTATATAAAATGTGTATGCTGACAGGTACACATGAATGGTTGTTTCCACTAGGTCTTCTCACACAGGTTAAATGGTCAGAAATAAGCAGTGTAGGAGTGTCTACATTCTTTTTGTGTGGTCTGGAGTTGTGAATAGGTGACATTGAATTAAAATAGGCTATTGTTTTCAAAGGAAGAAATTCTTTGTAGTATTGTTTAGCCTGGGATGAACACTGTGGATTTACACAGTCAGTGAGTACTATAGAAAGCAAGTCAGGACAAGGGAGACTATCATAATCAGAGAAATGGAAATAAACACAGCACTATATTTCACCCCGCCAGCACCTGGACCAACAAGTACCTGTTTGATGATGACATAAGTGATTATTCTCAGAGCCTCTGAAGTGAATGAATTCATTGTTTGATTTGTAGAAAGGACGTGGAAAAAAGTTCTCATATCTGTCAGTACAAGAAACTGACAAGAGCTTCAATTTGTGTTTGCATTTCTGTGTGATTGCATAGAGCCACCACAGAGTGTGTGTGTGTTTGTTTGAACATTTATGGCTACTCTACAGAAGGCTTTCAAATAACAACAATATATTTAGTCTTACTTTTTTTTGCTGCAGCAGTAGTGTGCAATGGGATGAATGTCACAGTGAAATTGTGTTATTTCTATCTATGGACTTTTAATTTTGATTTGTAGTCCTCCTTTGAATCCTCAAAGGGCCCACAACACAGTAGGTGACGCTGTTTGCCATCACTAAAATTAAGATAAAAGTCAAATTGAGGTAGTCATGTTGGACTTGCTGCTGTTCAGTATTTGTTAGCTTTAACTTGAATGAATTCAGGAAAAATAATAAAACTTCACAAATACTTTTTTCTATAAATTAATTGTCATAACTATGAAAAGTAGGAATCAGGCTTTGTCTACAGTGCTATTTTTATAGCTATTTTTAGCATTTTGAGCGTGCAATATAAGTAATATGTTGTTTGCCCCGGGCTGGCAGACCCTTGCGAATAAGGGAGCACTGCATATTACTACCAAACATAAAGTGTCACCTGAAGAAGCGCAGTATTGTGTCAGCGTGTAATGTCATAATTAGCTATGTATTACATTTGGTGCTCGCCTCTCCTGATAAGCTTTTAAAGTAGAACAAGTTTGCAAGTGTATCTTTCATTTTCATACTGAGGAAAGAACTTTGACTTTGAGTAAGTTTATTTTCTTGTTTTGAAACTATTGCAAAGTGTATGGATCCTACCTTATTTTAGTGCAGTTTGATTCAGACAACTCAAGTAGAGGATTTCAGGTATCTTCTGCTTTTCTTTACAAATGAGGGAAGGAGATGAGAAATTGGTGCAATATCTGCAAAAGTGAGGGCTTGGTTTGTTGTAGTGAAGACTTGTTTGATTGTGAAACCTAAAGCTGTCGATTTGCTTGTCAGTCCACATTTCCCCACATGAATGGCCAAAAGCTGGGGGCGAGTCTCTCTCTGACTGCTGCCTATTTGTAACTGCTGCTTATCCATGTCCGGTGGGTGATGGAGGGTAGCTGAGGGTCTGGGTGTCTATAAGCTACGTTTTCCCACACAAACTGACAACAAAGATGTAAATTTACAGAAATAACTCTCGAGAAAAAATGATCAGTGATGTATATTTTACTACACATCACTGATAACTGTACCGATTGTTTTTTTGTAGCTACTATTAAGTCAATGCTGTTTTGATAATTTATATTCAATCTCAAATCCTAATTGTTTTCCAGGCAAGCCAGGTTGTGGTGCAGTCATGTTAATTTTTCAAGTGCACCTCTTGTAATGTGACAAGATTGATTTATTTGTCGTTCAGAGTTTTGCCATTTTTTGTTTATGTGGAGGAGTTTTTAAAATCACACGTCTTCTCTTTCAGAGACTTTATCACGTTCAGCATGCGTTATCACAGGTGGATTGGCAGAAGCTGTGAACCTGGCAGATGCTCTTCGGAAGGCTGTTGGAGCTCTGGATATGGTACGTACGGGGCAGTAACAGCTAATTCAAGTGCTGTTTGTGATGACAACAAAACTGTAGAGCCTCACCAGTTTACCATTATGTTTTCCTCTATCTCACCCGTATCCGTCTCCTGTCATATACCTCAAATCTCCCCATAAACTCTATGCGAGCTCCACTTGGGTGGCCCAGTGGTGAAACTTGCAATTTGTGGTCACACCTCTAATGGAGCCTGTCTGGGACTTCCACACCCTGCAACTTTCCTCCCCACAGCCCCAGCCTCCTCCTCTGACTCTGCACGCAGGAGAGCAGATGCCCCTTCTCCTTAACTTGTAGTCACTTTGTGGGCACATCAAATTCCCACGTTGCCTTCAGTCCATATAGCAAACATCCTTTATTTAATTTGTAAAATTGTTCCTGATAGACAATGAGTAAAGTGTCCATGTGCAAAACAGAAAAGAGTGACAGTCTGGGACCTCTGACAGCATAGACCACATAGAGGCTCCAAATATGAATTACTCTCCTCTTACCTCAACAACCGTTGGGTTTCCTTAGAGGAAGCCACGTATCAGGTAACTCAAACAACCTGGATTTTGAAAAGAAGGCAAATAAACAAATGTGGCAAATTACTTTTAATCAAAATAAACTGTTCTTAGTATCCAGTTAGAGGGATATCCAGTAGGAAACAACTGTAATAAACCTACAGTCAACCATTTTAAACATTGTTGTACTAATAGGCATAGTTTGCAAATGAGCATAAAACAATTTTAGTTTGTTTATTGTACAAAACAATTCAATGAGTTCAGATGAATTTTTGAAGACTTTGACGGTGAACTCAACTTATTGCTTGTCTTCGGCAGCAGTGATATTCAGGGATAAAAAGTAAAAAGTTGATTAGCCTTACCTAACTGTTAAAAAAGCCAAATATTTCGAACTGTATCGTCGGTTATTCGCTGCTTTTTCTTGCCTATAAACAGTAACCTATTTATTATTAATTATCGGGATGTGTTGTCTGCATATAGCCACTGATGACTGTTATTGGTCTGTCGGCAGGTCTGACAGTAATGCAAATTATTTGTCAGCTTCACATTACTAATGAGAAACTGCTTCTCCACCAGAGAGATCTGGTGACTGTGGAGACCATTTGAGTACAGAGAACTTATTGTCATGTTCAAGAAACCAGTTGGAGACTTTTTGAGCTTTGTCCATTATTCTGCTGGAAGCAACCATCAGGAGATGGGTACACCTTGGTCATAAAGGGATGGACACGGACAGCGACGATGCTCAGCTGTGTCATTTAAGCAGTGCTCAGGTGGAACTAAGGGACACAAATTGTACTTAGAAAATATCCCTGTACCTGAGCTGTTGATCCAATTGAGGATAGATCCATGCTTTCATGCTGTTTACATCAAATTCTGACCCTACCACTAGAACACAGTGTTTTTCCATTCTTCGATTATTATAGTGTAATAATCGAAGAATAGTGTTGCGGGAAAAATTGATGCAGCAAAGTAGGTTTCAATTCATTTATTTATTTAAAAGAGGCAATGCACTTTCACATATTCCAGTTTTGAGCATGAAACTGATCTGCGGTCATTAGTTTCTGCACAGTTTAGAGCTGCTGCTAATTTTCAACCCTTGTCTCTTGTGGCTTTTACATTCCCAATACACAAACAAATTTACAACATTCAATTACATGAAACCAAAATACACTATGATTCCAAATATACAAAGAATTTAGTATAAAATATATTTTGTTTAAAGCAAGAGAAAGATGGAAAAAAAAGTATAATTTTAAAAAGTATGAATACTTGTAAAATATAATATGGTATTCTAGTTACATAACTATAGAGCAAAACGGGTGCTAAGGGCAAAAAAATGGCAGACCCGCAGTGAGATTTTAAGTACACAGTGTGAACGCTGATTGAACTGAAGAAGGCCAGGAGAAAGATGATTGGACTAGACTACAACAAATTTGTGACTTTCAAAAATGTATCACAATTAATTGCAATATTATCATAAACAGGCTACAGGTAATTGCCAGCTTTACCCCTTTCAGACACACACTGATATCAGACTGATATGGTTCACAATATCATTTTGTAGCAAAAAAATAACTGAAGTGAAATAAATGTATCTTATTGGATAAAACGGATATTGACAAGTAGAAATATATGTTTTTTCAATACTCAAATATCACAGAATGTTAAAAATCCCAATTATATAGTATCATGAGTGAAGTACTGTATTGGTATTACATCGCAGGGTTCGAGATGATTTCCATCTCTGCCACATAAGCAAATAATTATGGCTCTACAATCCCACATTGTCGGAGTTGCAGCAGCTGGGAATGAAAAAAATAGTAGTTTTTTTAGGATAAAATAATCCATGCGTGCTTTAAGCAGTTGAAGAAGAAGAGTTGACTCATCAGTTATCTTACACTATGAATTACATCAAATGTATTTTCATAGTGTTTATTATACACTGAAATTTCACATCCATCAGTTATTACACATCTATACATGTTTAGTAATGTTTTTCCTGTATTTTTTGATGTGGTATAGATATTCGCTGGGCATTACTGCAGACAATGGAGTGCAGTGGCACAGCAAGCTGCAAGTCATGATTCCATATTTGTCAGTGATCCAAACTGTTCATCCTCCTTTAAACTTGCTCCAAGTCCCTCCTTAGCTGGTGTCAGAACGAGCGGATCTTGCTGTCTGGTGCTGGAATGGGCCCCAGAGATGGATTTGGGGTCATGTTTTCTCCTCCTTGGATCGGCTGATTAGAGCTATTCCAGTCTGTACTTAGGTGGCCGGTGAGGCTGTGTTTTTTTCCGGAACACGTGTTCGGAACCAGATACATCCTTTTCAGGGAGTATGTGAGGGAGGAAGAAAAATGGGGGAGATGAAAGGCAAGTGGAAGAAGCGGAAGATGAAGAATTAGCTTTGTCCCAGTGCCATTGCCTGAATCTAATACAGGGATAAGTGGGATATGTGTGTGCAGGTGGATGATTTGGCAGCATGTGTGCACAAGAGACAAAGACCGTGCAAGTAAAAATATGATTAGAGATTCTTTCAGCAGGATATTATCTAAGAGATCAATTTGATGCAGTTTAAAGGGCCAGTTCACCTCAAAATCACATTTACTGATTTTCCACTGGCCTGTGGTGCTATCTGTCTTTCTAGATTTGTTTTAAGTGTTAGTTGCCCAGTTTTACTGGCTGTAGAGATGTCCAAAACTGAGCATCTCTTAAATATAATGGAGCTCAGTGGTACCTTGTGGTAAACCTTGATGTGAGTAATCTCATGTGGAAACCAAAGAGTGAAGAATGAAGCGTGCACCTAACCATGACGAGAAGCTTGTGGTTGTGACGGTGTGATAGAATGTAAACACTTGCAGTGTACCCCACACCTGAGCCACAGTCTTATCTAGCTGTGGTGGCTGTAGGTAGTATGAAAAATAATTCTCCCATGAACTTGCTCATTGCAATGTTCAGATTTTTTATGAGCCACGAGCTCTGAAAAGAGACATTGTTGCTGAGTTTTTCAAAATTAAATTCAGGAAAAGGATTGATATCTCTACAGATGCAAAACTGGGTAGACTCAAACAGTCTGCATACAGTGTATATGTTTTATTGAGGGACACAGGACAATTATGTGCATTCAGTTGTGGAGTGAAATATTCCTTTTTAAATTTCTAAAAAAATGTATAAAAGAAGATTCTCTCATGTTAACTCCTAAAAATACCGTACCACCACCAATGTGTGAATATGTTTAAAACCTTAATAGAAGCACTTGCTCTTAAATTCCCAGATATTGTTTTCCATACTAACATTTACCCACGTTTGTGACATTGGATTGGATTGGTGAACACTAGTGTGGTTATATTGACCTAACAATGTAGCGGTTTTGTCATTATAAATACTTAATACTGTCATTGACATGATATGCAGCGCACACATGCCTTTGTTTAACCTCTTAAGACCCAAACTCTTTCATGGCATGCATTTTTTTTTCTCTTTGCTATTTGGGCTGATTGGGACCTAATGAATGTAAAAGCAAAGAATTACTATTTTTTTATTTTTTTTTACCTGATTTTTGTTTCCGAGAAAAATTAGATCCACATACGAGGATGTTCGTTTTAAATTTTGATAGAACAGTGGCAGTATAACGTCCTCGTAAGTGGATATCAGGCCCTTGTAGAGCAAAATTTTGTATTTTGGTCTAGACAACCCAAAATGTGACGTCCACACATGTGGACACCAGGTCCTAGGAGGTTAACCTACTTTACTAAATATGAAACAAATATTTTTGTGTCTAGTATATCCAGTGTTTGGTTCCTTCGAGTGACCACATTTAAATACACTGAAAAAAGTTAACATTGTGATAAAAACCTTAACCTCTTCCAAGAAAATTACTCTGCATTGAACAGTGTCATTAAATACCCGACAATTGCTTTCTTGTTTTATTAATAACACATTTTCAGTATTTGATTGGAGTAAAATCGAAACAAAGACAGACACAGACAAGTAGATGTTTTATGGGAGGAAAAAACACATTAAACTTTTTTTTTTCAAATCAAATTATCTCCTCTTTCTTCCCCCTGGTATCATTTAATCTTGACACATGTTGTTATTTTAATATGCTGTGCACATCAAAGGGAATCCTCAGATCCATATCAGCTTAGTGAAGGTTTTTGATAATTACTTTCAACTCAAGAGAATTTGTCATTTAGACAGAAAACAAGTAGTATGATTGGACAGACAGTGTGCCAGCAAATGTGCTTTTTTTGGCTGTCAGCCACAGATAGTTTTAAATAATGGGTTCTAAGCTTTGCTTGCAATTTGCCAACAAGTTGTTTTTTTAGACTAGATGATTGATCTTTGAATATATTTTAGGGCCAAAGTGTCTGGTAGCTTTAATAAACGTACCATATTCATACTGTCAGCAGTATTTGTAGCTTGCAGATGTTGTTAATGTTTCATCTTGATGCAAACACAAACTTAAATATGTATATGTATATGTAAGTACCTGTGTCTGATATAATAATTACCTTTCATGCTGGAATCTGGACTTTAAGCACATAAACTTTGTTTAAGAAAAGAAAATGATAAGAGTATGCGATACAAGTCACTTTGGACATATGAGACAAATAATAAATAATGTATTATTCTTACACAAAAAATTATGTAAGAATTGGACATAAGTATCATAATGACAGTAAAAATAACCAGTCAATAATGTTACAAAGTAAAAGCTTTGTAAAAGAATTCACATTGTAAGTCTGAGTACCTTGTTCTTTTTGTACCTTACAGAAAAAAACCCCAATTCAGGTATTAATTCAAGAAATTCATAAAAGTTGGATTCCTCTTTTAAATCTTGGAACTGAGCAATTCTGTGGTCACCATCTTGTTGTTTAAAGGAATAGTGGTGAACCAGTGACAGGCTCATGGGCAGCCAAGGCTCACTGATGCATATCAGAAGTGAAGCATGTGGTCTGATCCAACAGACTAGATACTGTAGCTCAAATTGCTGAAATTGGTTCTGATAGAAAGGTGTCAGAATACACGGTGCATCTCAGCTAATTGTGTTTTTATATATATATATATATATAGAATACACGGTGCATCTCAGCTAGTTGTGTTTTTATATATATATATATATATATATATATATGTATATGTGTGTGTGTGTGTGTGTGTGTTTATGTGTATGATATGCCTTATTATTTGTATAAAAATGAGAATAGTTTCTTAACACTTTTAAATTTCGTATTAACCGTATGTCTCTGGTTTGTTTAACTGGTCTTTTTGGTGTTTGGGGTTCTGTGGCTTCTTGGCTCTCTAGGCCTAAACTAAAATAAACACGTCTACTCTGCGATTTCATGGCCAACCTGTTTTAGATCATGTCAGATTTTTTTTTAGAACCCTGCAAATCGGCATGTCGGACCAAAAAGATTTTCCTCCTGAAGCTGGGGGCAGTTATCTTTCAAGAACAATTAACCATTGAGCATATGGTTCCCATAACCATTTCACATTCTCATTTACTTTCAGTTACTTTAATGAGGAGAACAGTGACATCTCAATGCCAAACATAGATTTTGAATGTTTATTTCTGTGTTTATTTCCTGAATGTTTGACACTATAGTAACAGGTTATATTTTTAAGGGAAAACAACAAAAATGAATTCAAAATGGACATTGTGGGCTATCCAGTTGCCTCATTTTATTTGTGTGCCAGAGCCAAAATTAAAAGATCAGAACGTAAATGTCTCATTTCTCTAAGTAAAAAGGCTTTTACAGTTCTTGGCTGCATGTCGGCTTCAACTCAATTTGCAGCATAATGAAATTTAAGTTGGCTTACGTATGATTGCTGTTCCCGTTTTTTGCGTATGACAGAATTTTTCTGCCAGTTCAGAAGTATAAGAAGCCCAGAAATAGTTTCTTTTTTACCCTGTCTCATTTGTTCTAATAAGTTTCTGACTGCAGTTGATGGAAATAAGCCACTCAGTTATGTGATCTTTAGGCACAAATCTTTTCCTTTTTTTTAATAACCTTTTTCTGTAATCATAGAATGATTCATGGCAGAAAAGCAGGTGGATGTACTCTCGCAACAGATGACTGAAATAGTGGCTGAAACAAAAACCAGAAGCCTCTTGACCTTTGAGCGTTGGAGTCGATCAGTCATTCTATATGAAATGCATTAGGACCTTGGCACTGGTGGACCTACCTTAAATCTTATCAGTCAAGCAAGATACATCAGCTGAATATTTAACATGAGGGTATCTCTCATTCACAGGAGTTGGACATCGTCCCAGATCTAATGGGAGACAACGCCAGGTGTCTGTTAAAGGAGTGGAACTTCATCCAAGTTTCTGTAAGTTCTTATTCTATTTTCTACAACTTCTCTGTGAAAGTAAAATATGCCGCTGTAAGTAGTCATGAATTTTTTTGTTTTTGTCTTTGGTCTTTAGGTCAGTCACTCATGCTTGTCTGAAGTGGAGGCGATACTTGTGGCTTTAGAGGCAGAAAATCGAGCTCTTCTCCACCCGGTGGTTGTTATTTGGGTGAGTTGAGATGTAGATCTTATAACCGTACATCTCACAGTTAGAGTGCTAATCCATGTCCATCATCTTAGTGTGGCATTTTTCTAGGTTCCTGGACTAGAAGACAAGCTATGGGGGGTGTAAAAACTGAGATGTAATGAAAAACCCAAGGAGAAATTAAAGCCTCTAAAATTTAATGAAAAATCATCCAAATGTTGTTGACACATTTGATTAAAACCACCCAAGTCAAAGGCTTCGGTGGTTTTAAAGGAAAATGTCAGTAACAATCATCCTCTAGAGCCCACAAGTGTTCATGCCAAATTTCAGGGCATGAACTTATTAACATATTTCAGTCAGAACCCAAGTGGTGCACTCACTGACAGATGCATCCATCCTTACTGTGATTTCACATACAAATCTACTCTACGTCCCCCACAACTCTGTTTCCATTCCTTGCTGGGACCGTGTGTATTCTTGTTGTTGTCATCTAAGAGACAGATTTGTAAACCATTAAAAGACAAAGAATGTATTGCTGGCAATTACAGGGACAGCACAGCAGCTCTTGCCTGCAGTTATGTGGGGAAAACGCATCATTTTTTAAGTCATCATTGCCATTCTCAACTTTTTAACTCCTACAAACTGTGTACCTAAAAAACAAAATACAGTTCAGGAATCTAGTTAACAGAATCTGGAAAACCTGCTCTTGATTCTGTTATGTACAGTCCTGCCTTGAAAGCATCCACAGGAAGTATCCATAAGAAGTATGCACACTGGCTTAGTTATTACAATGGACATAAAATAAATGGGCATAACTTAAAAAAATCCTAGTTGGTTTAACAAGTTATTTTTATTTTATCAATGTCAAGCATTATTTACACAGTCAATTCTGCTGCCTGTATGATTTTTTGCTTCACTGAAACTAGACAATAGTTTCCTTCTCCCATCTCTGCTGCCTCAGATGTTGTAAGCCAGCGAGGCATGAAGAAGGTCTAATGACATTTGGAACAACCATGATTCAGTAACTTTTAGAACCAACTTTAACAGCAACACCTAGAAGTAATCATTTTCTGACTGACTTTATCAGTCTCTCATATTATTTTGGAGGAATTTGTCCCACTTTTTTTTTTTTATTAACTCATGCACAGCTCTCTTAAGTTCCTACACACACACACAGCATTTCAATCTGGATGAAGTCTGGACTTCAGTGTGATGGACTGAAATCAGCCATTGTGTTGTAGATTGCTGTTGTGCTTGGGATCACTGTGCTGTTGGAATGCCAAACCTTAGCTTGGACAGATGGCCTCACGTTTGTTTGTTAAATAATTTGGTAAACAGAGTTTAAGGTCCCCACGGCCATCACCCCTCCACCATTGTGCTTTACAGTCAGTATGACGTGTTTGTGCTGATATGCTGACTTTTCTCCAAATGTGGCTTTGTGCATCATCTCCACTTTGGTCTTGTCTGTCCAAAGGACATTGTTCCAGAAATCTTGTGGTTTGTTTCGACGCAGCTTTGCAAACCTTAGTTGTGCTACCGTGTTCTTTTCTGAGAAAAGAGGCTTAGCAACCCTTCCAAAAAAGGCATACTTGTTCGTACTTGTCTTTTTTTCTAATTGTTCTGTCATGAACTTTATAATTTAACATGCAAACCAAGGTTTCTAGTGTCTGCAATGTAGCTCTTGAGATTTTTAGCATTTTCTCGGAACATTGTATGATCTGACCTTGGGGAGAATATGCTGAGACATCTACTCCTGGGAAGATTTTGGCATATTGTTATAATATATACCTGAAAGCCCCAGACCAACAAACTGTCAGAACTTGTCCAGTGACATCCATGTTAGGCTACTAAATTGGACAGATGGATGGAGAGAATGAAAGATAGAGGCTATATCATACAAATGTTATAACCAGTGCATTAGTACAATAAAAAGGCTTCTAGGTATACTTAGTTCACTTTCTTTTTAACAGGAGGGGACCTCTGCCAGCTGTCTACTATGGCTGGATTGAGAGGTAAAGGGAAAAAGAAAGGGGTGGAAAGAGTGCATAGAGGGATGAGGACAAAAAACATACTATTCGAACGAGAAGACAAAAGTTAACAGCGTGGATTAGTGTTATATATACACACGCAGTGAATGGAAAGAGGTGAGTGCTGAACAAATGCTCTGTGCAACATGTTAAGACCCACAGGAGCCTGAGCCTATTGCAGCATAGCTTTGTGTTGTGTTGACTTACTGTTATCATCATGATTCAATCCAAAATTGATCCAAATGGGACTGAATCATTTTCCTTTTACAAATAACTACTCGCAGTCTCACTTTTTCCCAGCTCACTGAGCTCAGCTTCCTGTCGGACCAGTGGAAACTGCTCCAGTGCCACAATACAGTTTTTCCACACCATTTTAATAAAGCCTGAATCATGAAATTGCCAGAAAATAGCATTTTTTTTAAACTGAAGCATTCAAACGTATCATCTTAACAAGTTTTTTTTTAACCCAATTAAATATTAATTTTCATATATGTATTAATTTGTATTATATTTGCTACATCCAAGAAATGATACCAATGATGTAAAGTCTCAAACTCACAAAAACTGCATACATCAACTGTGATACATTAACATTAGGGGGTTCTGTTTTTTCAAGTACTGAAATTCATACCGTTGGGAGTTTAAACTGTTATAATTGATACTACTCAAGCCTTCTATACATCGCCACTCTCTTTTCTTGGATATCTACATACAGTTCAACTCACTTGTAATTCAAAGCACACAGGTTTGACGTTTCTTTAAGCAAACATTTTTTCTTTTTAATATGTAGTGTATTCAGTATGTACTCTTTTTTTTCTTTCTTAAACGAGCTATTAATACCATTTGAGGACTAAAGGTGTGTTATTTGCAGTTGTGTGTTTGTTAGAGAAGCCACCTAAAGGGTTACAAGTTTGTCACTCTAATATATAAATAAAAGCTCATAAAGCTATAACATGTCCTTAAAGTCATACAGTATATAAACTACTGTATGTCTGTGCATATAATGTCTCAGTGTCATTTCCCCACACAACTGGTGCAGCACAGATTAAGTTTCATTGAGGTGCATGTACTGCATAGCATTGAAAACCTTTTCTTTTTTTTTCTGCTTGTAAAAATCTAACCTGTGGTCCACCTCACGTCCCTTCTGGAGCTCTGTAGCTATTTGGAAACTCTACACCTCCCTTGAAAGCACCTCTGCACGACCTCTCTTACGGCTCGCTTTCCTTCAAACTGTGGCTGATCCCACCAGAGCTACACTAACCTGAGAGCTCACTGAGGGAAAAAAAGAACAAACTGCTTTAATCTGCTCTGGGAAACATTTAAATGTTTGTGAAAGGCTTGTTTACTTTTTTTAATTTGGAAAATGTAACTCTTCATCTAAAACAAAGAGCCAGCATCAAAAACAATGCCAGGTAATGAGAACAACATAAACCCACAGAGGCTGATTTCTGTGAAAAAACAAGCCAGATGTCATGCAGAATTGCTCCGCTAAAGCCCCCGTTCTTACTTGTGTTAGTTTTCAATAAAGATTGAAGCACATAGATTCAGATGTGTAAACACTCGGTTTGAAGCTGGGAGTTTAATGGGATTGACTCCCTTCCACATCAGAACAAACCAGGTTCCCACAAAACTCTCACTGTAAATGTTGCTAGTTCATCCTAATCTTATTCTGTTCTAACATTTATTCCGATCAGCCACAACAATGAAACTGCTGACAGGCGAAGTGAATAACATCGATCATCTTGTTACAATGCAATGTTCTGCTGCGAAGCCTTGGGTCCTGAGATTTATGTGGATGTTACTTTGACGTATATACCACCCATATAAAGATTGTTGTGCACCAAACTGCAACCTCCAGGGATGAAAAATTAAGCCAATTAATTAACTGTAGTTCCTTGGGAGGCCACTTGAGACTATCTCATAAAGAGGTTCAATGCTTGTAGACTGCAGTGTTTAAATGCCAAACTTTAAAGCAATTAAAACATTTTTAGATGCATCCATTCTCTGGCACTTATCCTTCTCAGGGGGGGCTGGAACCTATCCCAGCTGTCTTGGGGTGAGAGGCAGGGTACAGCCTGGACAGGTCGCCAGTCTGTCCCAGGGCTAACACATAGACAAAGACAACCATTCGCACTCATATTCACACCTCCATTCACACCTATGGGCAATTTAGAGCTTCCAATTAACATACCCCCACTAACTGCATGTCCTTGGACTGTGGGAGAAAGCTGAAGTACTCGGAGAGAACCCACATGCAAACTGCACACAGAAAGGCAGGTTTGAACTCAGGTGGAATTGAACTCAGGACTCTATGGATAGGTCTTGATGCATGCTCATTCATCCAGGTAAGTAAATCTCCAAAAGTTGATTTTGTTCATCTGGACGTAGCGTTTTTAGTGGGAGAAACATTTAACTACTCATCCAAGTGACTTCTTCAGTCCCAGCGGACTGCAAGTTTCCCCAATCTTATAAACAGGGAGGAACGCTGTTTTGAGCGCGGAGTCAAGGAGGCCATTTACATGAAAAGGGAAAGACCATCTTTGAATTGAGGAGGGGGCCTAAGGGTACATCTTTCGCCATCATACAGTGATGTGATTGCAGCCATTGCCCAGCTCTCTGTGAATGGTTCTCATGGCCATTGATCAGTGGTTGTTGATCAATGGTCATGAGAATTTGCATAATTATGATGAAGGAACTGACCTCCCAGCCCTTTGTTCCTTCAGTGGGCTGGTTTCAGTCATTATGCAAATGTACCGTTTATAAGATTGGGGAAACCTGCAGTCAGCTGAGACTGAAGAAGTCACTTGGTTGAGTGACTAAACGTCTCTCCCACTGAAAACGCTACGTCCAGATGAACAGAATCAACTTTTGGAGACTCTATGGATAGCTTTCACCTTCCAACAACTCTACTGAGGCGGATATTTTTAGTAACTCCATCCATCCATAAACAGCAGTATTGTTTCTTGGTGGTGAAATCGCTGAACTAGATTTCGCCACCATAATTGTGCTGTTTGTGCCTCCTAGGTAGTTTTAGGTTGAATTTTAATTAAACAATTAAGACACAAAGCTTACTGTGTGATATAGCCTGTCCAAGCAGTCTGGGATTTGAAAGAAATTCTAGTGTTTTATCAGTTTGTTACTTGTCTGCCTTTCTGCATCTGTTTTCTTTCACTGCTGAATGCAACTTGCAAGCTTCTAGCATTAGACGATATGTTAGCACC